TATATATATATATATATAGCTTTACATCGGTTCTTCCACCGCTTATTAGAAAAGCCTTTATCGTGAAAAGCATTTATTGTGAAATTATCATATTACATATCGGAAGTTTGAATGTTGTTTTATTTTGGTGTTTAACTTGACCGCGGTAATCAGACTCGGGGAATGTACCTCGGCTGTCCTGCCAGGTTTTTTCTGCTGCTACACATTTTCAGGTACTGCTTCCTGCGAAATGGAGACAACGGTGTACACTTCAGCTGTGAAGTAAAGGAAAATCAGGGGGAGGTTGTACGACGGTAAGTTTTCACCTCGTAGCTCGAACCAGCTGAGCTTTTGTAAGATCAGAACTTCCTTCTCTTCGAGGCTGCTGGGATGCTAGCAATTTTTTTTTTTTTTTTTAGCTTTGTTAGCTTGTAAAATTTCCTTGTTAAAGTGTTGGTCGACAGAAACCTTTATCCGACACCAAATAAAGGTTTACGAGCGCGAAGGGGTGCTTATATAAACCACCCACTTGAAGTATTTGTTAGTGAGTGAGCATTTGGCTTCGGCTCAGCTGCTCAGCAACTCTTTGGGCGATTAAAGTTAAGTCACTAGCCACCCGTAGCTAGCAGGCTAACCCTGGTTAGCCAAGTGGAAATTGTAAACAATATTAGATCGTTTCTGCGCTGAGCTCCACACGACGAGTAAGGTATCTCATGCATGAACGTTTTTACTACTTTTAAAATAAGTTGACAGAGCTGGGTCTTTCCAGCTTTTAGTTTAGGGCTCTAAAAGCCGTGGCCACAGTTGAACTTTCGGAAAATATGCAACTTTAGCCAAAGTTCTTCTGCTTTTGTGTTTTGTTAGACATTTAGGCTAATATATATGTATACATATATAGTATACATGTATGTATGTGTGTATGTATGTATATATATCTATAAGTGAAGACGGTTTACTTCTCTGTTTTGGGGGTTGTGGGGGAAGGTTAATGATTCTACACTAAGTAACCTGCATGTAAAATCAATTTAACTATTACATTATGACCTCAATACAGATACTTCTGTACATTGTTTACTGCTGTCGCTTTGTATCACTGTTTTAATTAGTAGTAGCATATCAGTTGCTCAGTCCTTCCTCGATGGCGGTGCTGACTTTTAAAGCATGCATGTTAAATAAATTCAGGGCATCTTCACTGGGGCTTTCCGTCAGTGAGTCACGGTGCTTTTGCTTGCTCTTGATCCCCTGTAGCATTTCACTTGAACATAATTAATTCCAGATTTGGGATTTGTACACAGAACCAAACCATTTGTGCTGTAGCTTTAGGAAAACTTGGTCAGTTCGGTGTTTTAATGTTGAAACTCAAACTTTACTATTCTTTCAGCGGCACAAGTGACTTGGTTAGTCAGCTTTTTTGTTGCTGTAGTACTACTGCCATGTTACACATAAATATATGTTATTGTTTACATCTCTTGAAACTAGGAATTTGTTTTAAAAGAAATATTACACATATCTTATGCACCTGCTATTTTCGGATGAGAAAATCTGTTTTAAAAAAATGTATAAATAAATAAAGAGATGACTAATAGAGGTCAGCCCCTCGTGGAAATTCATCAGAGAACTTTATTTACTCAAGCATGATTTGCATTTTTCCTTATTACATGATCAGAACACCTTAAGTTTCTGTCAGGTAAGGTAACACCGACTCATTGTGTCCTCGCCTGCCTTGCCTTTAATAAAACTACATTCTTAGCTAGGTAAAACCCCTGACAGGTGTATTGGTGGTTTCTAAAAAGTAGGTTAAAATGTTCTTCTTGTACTTTTATGATATAATACATTTAACTTTTATTTGCAGCTAACCAAGTTTGGGGACAGAAAACAAGAACTGGTTTCAGCTGATGACTAGTCTCAAATTGTCAAATCTGCTGAAATGAAACTCCTTCAAAGCTTCTTGGTTTTATTTTATTTTATTAGTAACCTGTGGCCGAGCCGCAGAAGACCCTGAGCTGAAGCAACATTTGCTCTATTGCAGTATTCCCTCTTATCTTATTAGAATGATACACGTATGTTGACTTTTTCTGTGGCTTGTTGAATGAACTAGCAAATAAGTATGTGCTGGGAACTGACAGAGAATATTTAAACATCTTTTTTTTTTTACTGTCAAATAGGGTTAATAGGGTTTTTAGGGTTTTCTGCTTGTGACAAATGATTAAAATGTGAGTCTTTTGTTATGTGGGAACAGTAATAGGTTATATTACAGCTTTATCTTTGTGTTTATGATTATGTAACCAGGAATCCAGATAACATAAAATAGACTTCTGAAGAATATCGTGGTAAATGTGCATAAAACTCATCCTGGTCTTAAAGCAGGACATATTTTAATCTTCAGCTTAGTTCTGTTATATCCCTTCTACTGTAGCTTTAGTAGACTTTGGCAGTATAATTTCAGCCAAATAAATTTAGAGGCTGTGAAATCAGTGTGTCCATGGCATATATTGCACAGTGAGCCTCATCTCTGCTGGTGAATTGTGAGTCGTTGTTTATGGGGGTTTCTTTCCTCCTTCATTGTAGAACAGAAATAGCTAGTGCTGTCCCCCGCCCCCCATAAATTCACCAATCTGCTTCCTGCTGTTTATAGTGAAAAGTCTTTAGCGGACAGTGGAGGGACTGTTATGTTATGTATTGATGATGAGATGCACAATGTGGAGAACTGAAGGAGTGGATTCCCCTAATGTCTCCTGTTCTGCGCTAAAGTAATGAGTGTTGGCCCCCAAAAAATATGACTTTCGTTCCTGGGAATCTCTTGACATCATTCATGACATCTGTGTTTGCCCTTTCACTTGCTGTAAGACTTTGGCTTTGTAATGTTTACATCAGGCTGGCATTATGTCTTCATCACCAACTTTGCTGTTAACTCAGATGATTTAGAGGGTACATGAGCTTCTGTGGTATTCTTGGAGGAAGAAGAGCAGGACAGTTAAGACTGAATGAATAACTGGATTTCAGACAACAAGTCGTTATTGAACTATAAATTAGTAATTAACAGTGGACCAAAAATTGAAATCCTAAATATCGACCTACGTATGCCAAACACTTTAGGAAAGCATCACCGGTCTAGTGAATTCAGCACAAGGAGTTTTTTTTCTTTTTTCTTATTTATATAGTTATTATTTTTCCCTTGAAAAGTTTCCTTTCTGCTTCCAATCATGGTCACATTGTGGCACAATACATGTCCTGCCAATGGCTTTATACAAATCCACTGACCCGTAATGATGGTAATGCATCAGCAAAGAAAGGGAAGAACATGACTTGCATCTAGTAAATATGCTGTATTTCCTAAGAGAGTGTGACTCAACTATAGAAGAACACTGCCATTCATTTGAAGTAGGTTTATTTTAAAGTTTGTATTTCTTTTTCCTCTCTGGTTGCTAAGTATAACAGCTGTTTTCTTGTTAAATATTTGCATAAGTCAAACACCACTGTGTCAGTTTTGAGCACTGTAAAATATTTTAGGTACTTTCTAAAATAAAGACCTGGGTGATATTTAACTGCGGCTTCATATTTGAGAATTAAAGGGGCGGCGACACAGGATGTGACTAGCAGCAACCAGAAATGACACGGATAATGATATTCAGCGATTTCAGGTGACAACCAGTGAAATAACAGCTGGCCACGTAAAGGTGGTGTGTCCCCGTCCAAACCTAGAGATGGTATGGATATAATTGATTGACATGTGACAGGCTGATAGATTAGAGAGTTACTTAGCCAGTCAGAGCATCAAAATGTCCACTAGCCCTCAAACACCAGCTAAGGAGTGAGGTACAAAACGCGAATTGCTTTCTTTGTTAACTGGAGACTAAAACTGAATGCAAGTATCACGTTTGTTACAGTGATCTCCTGAAAAATCTGCTCGCTGAACATTTGGCGTCTGTCGTAGCTCATGTGTCTGTATCTGTCTGGTAATGTGGTTACTTTGGAGTATATGTCATGTTGGAAACTGAAGTGTACACAGCATCCAGTGACACAGACGTGCATTGCCATAGCCAGTCAGTTGTGAAAGTAACCACAAATTTCACAAACGTTATTGGAAGTTAACACTTGAATTTTCAGAGCGTCTGGATAGAAATCACCAAGCAACTTGGCATTCGTGATGGTATTTATATCCTTTTGATTGATTGCATTGTTTCTTATTCTGCCATTTTTCTAATTGACTGGAAGAGAAAGGATCACCTCGAGTAGAGATATCCCACTGCTAACCAGTGTTTTGGCGGCAGTGTGGGCAAACCATGCATAAGTATAAATGCTGACAGCGGCGTTGGCTACATGGCAGGCTCTGGCAGGCATAATTTCAGTTTTGTTTGTGTGAAATGAAAAGCAGCGGCATAAAGCCAAAGATGGGCATTGTCAACATCCAACTAAAGTAAATGTTGTTAGGTTACAAGATTTACTTGGTTATTTCTTTATTTTATTACTTTTAAAACTTTATTTGGTTCTGTTCGTTCAGGCTTTTAACACAAGCCTTTTAATCAATCAATCAATCTTTATTTATAAAGCACTTTTCATACAGAAAAAATGTAGCACAAAGTGCTTTACATAGTTAAAAGCAGCCCACCCCACCCTCCAACTCACTCCCCACACTCTCAATACACATATATCCCCCCACCCACACACACATACACACACGCGCACACTTAAAGAGTAAAAATTGGGCTGGACTCGCATGAGCCAAGTGAGGAAACATTATAACAGAGAGCCGTCTGCACCGGGAGCCGGTCACAGACCGCAGCCTCCGGGCTGGGCACACAGCCGGAGGGAGGCAAAGGAGCCCCCCAACCAGGCTGAGAGGACCCCAGAGACCAGCAGCCACGGTCAATAACAGCCCCGGTGCAGAGAGCGCCCTCCGAGGAAACACTGGAGATATGACGCAATACGATGTATACAGGGTAAAATGATAAAATAAATAAGAACAGGATACAATATAAATATAAATATAAATAGAGTAAGAAGATTTAAAAATGAATAAGAATAAAATCAAGAAATATTAGGTAAATCCTAAATTAATAATAGAATAACAGGATAGAATAAATAAGCATAAAAAAGAAATAAACGCTAAGTAAAAGCTAAATTAAAAAGGTGGGTCTTGAGCCTGTTCTTAAAAACATGTACGTTCTCTGCGGCCCTGAGCTCCTCTGGCAGGCTGTTCCACAGACGAGGACCATACCACTGAAAAGCTGCCTCTCCGTGAGTATGTGTCCTGACTTTAGGGACAATCAAAAGGCCAGTACCAGAGGACCTCAGGGTCCGCGAGGGTTCGTAT